GACCACCATGCTTTATTGGTGGTTATGCCAATAAATTGTAGCTTATGTGAAACGTTGGTACTTTCAACACAGTGCCATCTGTTAGAATTGTATCAAATAATAAACAAATATTTTGCAATAAAATAATATTTCGGGTATAAATTGAGATGAAAGCTATCCTATCTTTTAAGTTGGATCAAACTACAAACGATGTGCAAATTTGATTGATATCGGTTCGGTAGTTTAGGAGGCCAAACAACGTGACACGTAATTTATATATATTAAGATATGTATATATATATAGCCAAAGATGAAATACATAAAAGGTGCAAAAAGGTTCAAACATTTACAAAAGGAAAAAATACATTTGACTAAGTAATATCCAAGTGTTGTGTGAAAGTGAGGGGATTATATTGTGCGTATGTGTGAATCAATGTAGGTATAATAGCTGTATTAGGTGTACAAATTTATTTGCTACATGTCTATTAAAAACTAGCTTCGCGCATGCGGTATGGACATATGAGTAGGTACCACGCCGTACCAACCAACTAATTCGATTCAAAGACAAAAGTAGAATTTAAAGCATTAATAAGCATTTATACATAATACTTTAAAAGTAGTTTTTATTTGTCCGTGAAAATTGTCTTTAGTCTCAAGCACGTTTTCATTGCGGGTTCTTTTGTTTCCACCAAAAATATGTTTACGACCACCTCTGAGTTTCTTGAAAGCTCTTTGTTACTAACTTTACGATCCTACTTTGGTTTCGTTGTTTTTGTGGTATTAGCGACGCAATTGGCGTTGAACCACAAAAACTGTTGAATTTATTTAAATTATTGTCTTTTGCATATCAAGTTTTGTATTTGGACATACATAAACATATCGATTAGGTATCCCTTTACAGTTAAATATATTTAATAATTTTTATTGAGTTTTTCCTTTTATAAATGGTTGAAGCTTTTTGTATATACAATGTACGGGAGCTGACCCGGCTGACTTCGTTCCGCCTAAGAGTCTAATAATATCTTGTTAACTTTAGTTAAACTTAAGGCAAATTAGTATTGAATCATCAAATGTGCAGGAGTTTTTCCTTCACTAAAATCTGGTCAAGTTACAATCCATCGATAGCCACACAATGGAAATAAGCATTTATGTATAATGCGAGATATGCGGGTGGTAAACTATTCCTGTACAGACGTCGAAATTGAAATTGTGTTATATTAATATACGTCATAGTTATGAACGATTTTTTAAATGATTTACAATGATTCTACGAGCCAAGGCTGTATATTTTGCTTACTTAGGTTTTCTCAGTTTTATAAACCCGAGATCCGATTTACTAAATCGTCGGAGTTACGCCCCGATAGTACCTATACCTCTCTTTTTTATTTTTCTCTCTTTAACATTTACACTACATTCATTTAATTATTTTGCATTTATTTTATATGTCTCATATAGAGTGAAAATAAAATCCTCTATTATTGAAAGCACCCCGATGACCCAGAAACCGTACAATATTTATTCAATTAAACTTGTTGGGTGTTATTAGGTGGTGGTAGGGTAATTTTATAAGGTTTTTATACAGAGTTATGCATTAGACACCACCGGTTGGAGATTTTTTTCCCAAATTTAAAAAAGTTAGTTGAGGTTATATTTAATTCTATGAGATGGTAACCCCGTGAGCCTCTTTCGAATAAGATAAATATTTTAATTCGTTTTACAAGCAAATTTTATAAATAAAAAGATGAGAATAGACTCTGTCCCAGGCTTAGAGATTAAGAAGCGTAAAGAGCAAATGGCTTTTATGGTTATACTATAGAGGTATTGTATTTATAAATACAATAAAAATAAATCAGTGGCGTTACCTTTTAGATCTGGGTCTCAAATTTCTGTATATGTTTCATGATCATTTGTCAATCTAATAGGCAAGTAGGTGATCAGCTTCCTGTGACACACGCCGTCGACTTTTTGGGTCTAAGACAAGGTTTCTTCACGATGTTTTCCTTCACCGTTCGAGCGAATGTTAAATGAATAGATCGAAAATCCATTGGTGCACAGCCGGCGATCGAACCTACGACCTAGCCACTAGGCCAACCCTGCTCTGTTATAATATAATTACTATATTAAATAAACTTATTATTTGTAGTATTTATTAAAAGATATAAATCGTACTTAACAGTTTATTGAACTGAGTTTTTTGATTAGGCAGTCGGTTGCAGTTTTTTATATCAACGACGTTCAGTGCGATGAACTTTTATGGTTCACTTCTTGTCATCTTATTGAATAGTCAACGGTACATAGCTCATAGAATAGTCGATTGTTTAGTTATAATTTTAACCGTTATCCCTTAACAGAGACTTGTTTCTTTTATGCAAGTTGGTGATCGGACAGTTAGACCCGAAATTAAGTTTCGCCGGAAATCAAACTTAGGAACCTAAAGTTCGCCATTTGTGTTATTATAATAATAATTGTTACATTGTTAGTATTACATCATTTGCACATACCTATACAACCCTCACGTACATACCCTTACTAACTTAATAACTTTTATTAAATTTTCCTTATGTAAATGTTTGAACCTTTTTGTATATATTGTGTACTCCATCTTTGGATATATCTTTAGTATAATTGTTTTTGTTATATATAATTTATGTTAGCTGTAGGATTACGAAATAAATAATTACTGTTATTTATCGATAAATGCGTATTTTCCTCAATTAAGCATTGAAGGCTGTATACATTCAGTGTTAAGTTGGAAACACGTAATTTTTATCTACGAGAAAACACTTTACCGAAGTCAAACCCGAAATTAATTTTATAATAAAATATTCACGCTGTAGGTTTACGTTAATTGACCAGAGATAGTAGAAACACACCTTGCGCGGTGTAGTGTTCGATTTTCAAATATCAAAGAATATCCGGTTAAAATCGACTCTAAATTATGTTAAGTATGTCAAATTGAATCTATTATCCAATTGTTTGTATCTGTACCCCATATTAATGTCATTGCACTCTGCCCTATTTTTTGGTTATACATTGGCCTAGTATAAACATTATTATTGAAACATAAACTTTAGTTCAAAATATCCGTAGGAGGTATTATTCGAAGAATATTTCTTTGTATATTTCGTGTCGTAATAAATAACTTTAAATAATAATGATGACTATGGACTCACTATTACTATGGATTATCAAATAGTGGTTAAATCTATTAATATTGGCAAATAGAATAAACCTCAACTTAGACGTTGTTAATTTGTGTGCCCGCCATTGTTCCGATATCAGATGTTAATTCGGTCGAAGCGTGATTTGTCATGGTCATCTTTAATTAATCGACTAGAAATTTTTCAATTCGAAATGATAGAATGCAAACTTTTGAAACAATACTAATTTTACGGTACATTACATATTACAGAGAAACATTTATAGTGATTCAATAGTAGGAATAATAATAATAATAATAATTAAAAATTAAATTGTTGTTTACTTAATTTGATTCTTAGAAGCCTGAATGTTAATTCTGATATCAAAATGTGTAGTCTGGGGTCGACAACCAGGAACTCATATTAATATATTTGTTCAAGTTCATTTATTTATTTAAGTTTTTGCCAACGAGCATTAGAATGTACAGTCAAAATCTGTTAAACGACATCGAAAGGACTTCTTCTCATATTTGGTCGTAAAAACCGATAGTCGTAACAGCCGATGACGCTGTTAAGAACCTTATACAATAGAATTCAGCCGGGACCTTGATTTTGGTCAATATAACCGGCATGTCGGTTCTAAACGATGTCGTAAACGGTTTTAACTGTATGCGTATAAAATAAACAAAAATTATTACACAAACATAGTTCCTTCTTAAAACCCTTTGTCATAAATAAAATTACGTTAATTTTACGCTACTATTTAAAGAGAAAACCTTGCTTGCAATAGCCCCTTAACCCAACGATAATATTTAGTATTTTATTTTCTGTCCGTTTAACATGTTTATTTAAAATAATTTGAAGTAGGGCGATGCTAAAATCGTCGCACAGCTAGCGCAGTAGTTTGACCCCGTAAACGGTGAATGAGGTTTCGGTTATGCCAATTAGTGTAACACAAACAAAAGACCTTTGTTTAGATTAATATTAATACAATGTTTTATTAAATAGATTAATATTAATACAATGTGAATTTCGTGTATTTAGACGAGATTTTTATGATCTCACAAACAAACAGATCGGCAATGAACTTACGAGCCCTCTGTCAATTCTTATATAAAACAAAAAAATAATCGTTTTACTTAATTCAATTTATATAAAACCATGACACAACCTTAATCTTACTATACACATTTTCGATACGGTTAAACTTGTTAAAAATTTATAGTTTTTGAGTTTATCGTGTTCATACTAACGCGGTCCGCGGAGTTATATAATATGTATTGTTTCATTCTAGTAAATGGTTTGTTGACAAATGAAGAAAAATGTGCCGTTTGTTAACGTTATAGTTTTTATTTGTTCGTATTCATGTTGGGTATTGAAAGGTTAATTTATATAATTAATTATGGTACAAAATCATAAACATGTTATTTGTACATAAAATATAGATTTTCGCCGCAATATTTAAAAGTTGACTCAATCCCGTTCAACCGCATCTCACTCATCAGTCTCCGAAATTACATTAACATATCGTGCACATTGCAAAACTCAAACGAGTTCCGCACATGTGTCAGTCGACTGCCCAACGCCACGCGTGATCCACGACTACTGACTACAACTTTATACGAATTATTATCCAATCCATTGTTTAAACCCGGTATTACGATGATGCAACTACATTAACCCGGTCTAGGCTACGGTTTTGTGTCAATAACCACGTGAACGAAAAGCACCATTGTCCAATCATAGGAGGGTGAGGGGTACCGCCGCGTCTCGGCCACCCAATCGCGGCTCGTATACGATTTCGCCCCGACGAAACACGAACGTAACCGACAGGAGCCGAGCGCTGCATCCACAACCCCCAGTGCACATCCAGCCCCCATCATGGCAACCGCGGTGGCCGCGCCGCCGGCTGTCACGAAAAAACCGTCGATTAAAAAATACAAAGCGCCTACACCGCCTCGAGAGGAAAGCGAAAAGGACAAAGAGAACGTAGTCGACGAAACAAATGAATGCAAAACAAAAGAGACGCCGGCTAGTCCAGCTGTGAAGAGGTTATTGCCGAAATCAAATGTTGACAGAAGTTCCGTATTATCGAAAGCGGCGATGTTCGAATCGGGCAGCCCCAAGGCGAAGGATCCCGCAGAAATGACCCTACGGGAAAGGAAAGCTCTGTTCGAAAAGAATAAGGGGACTATTATAGTACCTAAAGCGCCCTTCGGACTTGCACCGTCGATAAAAACACTGCACGGTGACAAAGGTAAGTGCGATTTATTTTTGTTGTGCTAACGGTGTTTAGTTTTCTCATGTTACATTGTCAGCGAATAGACTCAATTCAACAATTCAAAAACGTCTTGTTTACCCGTCGTTAGCAGGTAGATTGCGCATTCAAAGGGTTATTTGTGAAATGCGATTGTCTCATTATCATTTGAACTCATAATTTCGTCACCGTTTTATCATATAAAAGTTTTAACAGCTGTGTTCTGATATAATACTATCGAGAGATTTTTCGCAAGTTAAATGTACATTACTTATAGATTTAGTTCGTGTAATTCGTGAAGTCGAAGTACAAACTATTGTTTTCCTCAATTAAATATTTTGCGAAACAATCGCAATTATTATGAAATATTGAATGACGTTACTGGAGTAGGTACTGTGGTTTATGGAGTTTGTGGTTAAAATTTTATTGTATGTGGATACAATCTTCTTCGTCTTTATCTTTGAGCCGGTGTCAGCTGTTTCTTCAAGAGATATACATATATAAGTTTATGACATTTCCTGCAACGCTTTCCAATAGTGATTTAAATCAGTGTTTATGTTATGAACGATAACTTTTGCAATATCCGATTTCACTGGTAATGTCGATTTAGCTTCATACAAATCTATGAATTGAAAAACCTATTATATTTAGGAGATATGGCAATAAGTCTTCAGGCTTCAGCGTGTGACTCATCCCTGCGGTCGTGGGTTCGATCCCCGGCTATGCACCAATGCACTTGCTTTCTATGTGCGCATCTATCGCTCGAACGGTGAAGGAAAACATCGTGAGGAAACCGGCTTGCCTTTAACTCAAAAAGTCGACGGTATGTGTCAGGCACAGGAGGCTGATCACCTACTTGCCTATTAGATTGACAAATGATCATGAAACAGATACAAAGCCCAGACCTAAAAAGATTGTAGCGCCACTGATTTTTATATATTAATTCCTACAGGTTATGGGGTTTTTTATTCTTACATTGTTTACTTATGACTGTATGAACACTGTAATACATACAGTGAGATTATAAAGTGTTTATCCTATCGAACCTGAGACGCGAAACGCATGTTCCCAACTGTCTTATTATTGTTCTATCCCTGTGAGACATCCTGGAGTCACGGATTTTACAAGATTAATTCTCAGATGACATTGACAAAAGATGACTCATGTGTTGTCTAAAAAAGAAAGTAATGAATACTTTTTAACGTTTTTATTCAAAATTTCGTTGAAGTTTGGTATACACTTTTCAATTAAGAGATTTAATTTACGTGTCGCTTCGTAGTATGCAGGATAATATACAGCATTGAGCTATCGGCCTTTGTTGCCATATCAAGATCAGTCTTTGTTTAATGATCTCGTAGTAAACATTATTCATAGTATTATTCTTCGTTTGTGTTTCTTAATCTGTACATATCGTGTTTGTAGACACACCTCCGAAATCTTGAGGTTTTATCTATTTTTTTTGTTTGTATATAGGTTGTAAAGTTTTTATAAACCCTGAGTGATGAACCTCAAAATTAAATTTTATTTTTATGATAAAAAATAAATACATAATTCTTAAATTTCACTTTTGAACAGCGATATCAGTACTGTAATAAATCTTTTATGACAAAACTCCGTTTCCAGGTCAGTTAGTGCTATAAAAATAATATAAGTTTACTCATAAACTCCACTTACGGTAACTTAAGTTTAAATTAATAAACAATTGAATAGTTCTCAAGAGATGGCGCTAATACTCTAAAATATGTTATAATTTTTAAGTACAATTAGCCTTATTGGTTCAGGTTGAGCAGCATTCATGCGATATAATAGTTCCCAAGTAATTGTTTTGTATATGGATAAGTTCTTATCATTTACAATGGTGACATATTAAGTGTAAATTAAAAAAGGTTTTGGTCCACCACAATGTATATTGACATTGACACTTATTACCCTTATATACGGGTGTTACAGCAATCAATATTGGTTTAAATTAGTTAGCTAATCCCAACACGACCGTCAAGGAAAGAAGTCTATACATTTTTGTAAACAGTGTAATAGTTATATTTGAGATGTGAGGAAAATCTTAGTCAGCAATTTATTTATCCAAGCAGAAGGCCTGGAAGATTGGGCTCCAATCCATAAAGCCGCCGTTTATTGATTCTCTTACTTCTTATTGATTGAATTTACTCTCATAAACAATAATAGTAGTTGTTTGGAAGTCATATCGTCTGCTCAAAAGGCAAGATTCAAAGTCCGATACGTTTCGTTTGACTACGTCCTAATACTATTACGTACGTTACTACTACTACTCAATGGCTGTGTCCGAAAGTACTACCCGTAACCACGAATCGTTATTGAATGAAACAGTTAAGAATGTCACGGATTGGCTGGAAACTAATATTTCAGTGAAAATATTTAAAAAACTAACTATGTATGTATAATTTCGGAATTATAATAATAGAATACCCAATAAGCTCAAAATAACTTATATAAACGAATCAGTTGAATTAGTCGTATCAACTAAGTTTCTAGGCATAACACTATACGAAACTCTTATATTACTATTACTACTACGTGCGTTGTCATTACTACTACGTACGTTACTATTACTACGTTAAGTTTGACTCCCGTTTGTCAAATTTAATATATTTTTGACATACGAGAAGTCATACTTTGTAGTAAGTCTTGACGAATCTTACCCATAATGAATAATCAGTACAATGCCTCTTCTTCAGCCTTCACCATATTTTACCATATAACAAAAGTGGCGAACATTATTTCCGTCACGTACCTCTAAAAGAAATGACTGTGCAGAATCGCGTTCGTGGAACATTTCTTATCAGTCGATCTTTAATTAAATAAAGGGTCGTTGACCGGAAAGGATCTTTTTTGTTGGTAAAAAATTTGCATACATTTAGGATGGCAGTTAGGACCTGAATCTTATAACGGTTCAGGCGGCAAGTGTTATTTTGAAATTGGAACGTCGTAATATTTGTAAATTACTAGAAAAGATTTGTTGTTCTTGGAAAAGGTCACACGGCGTGTGTCAGGCATAGGAGGCCGATCACCTACTTGCCTATTAGATTGACAAATGATCATGAAACAGATACAGAAGGAAGGTTAAAAAAAAGGTTGTAGTGCCACGGTTTGTAAATGGCTGAGTCTAGCTAGCTTTATTTGGCACACTTATGTAAAATCACAATCAGAAGTCACAATACAATCTCGTACATTTTCTTTTCTTATTTAAATAACGATAAGTAGGTTGGTCACAGAATTTCGTTTAGCACATCCTTATATGTGGTTTTTAACTTTCTCTTGTCGAGTCTCGTTTACAAGGAAAATAATGTAGTAACATTAGGAGGAAACTTGTGATATGGGTGAACTGAGTATTGAAATCAATTGTTATTTTACTGGAATACTATGGGCAAAGTAAAGACATCTAGAAAAGATTGGAGAATGCCTTCATCCAATACTTCCATATCCATACTACTAACATATTAATACTAAAATAGCTTAACTTCAATTAGCTTTAAATAAATTGTAACAGTACCAGCTCCTTCTGCTTGACCGTAGTCATCGAAGAGCGATTCGAATCGTCGACCAGTTACTTTCCAAGCGGCTTGATCCCTTGGCGTTGCGTAGAGATGTGGGATCTCTGTATCTTCTACAGAACTTAATGCATGGACGGTGTTCAGAGGAGTTGTTCGGAGTAATACCTGCAGTTGAGTTTCATCATCGGACGTCAGGCAGAATTCGAAATACCATCTGTATAACCGAGCGACGTATCTTTTAGTTTCTTAAGGCAGTTTTTGCCGCGCACCGCCACTATGTGGAACCAGCTGCCCACTGAAGTATTTTGGAACCAATTCGACTTAGGGGCCTTCAAGAAAAGAGCGTACCAATTCTTCAAAGGCCGGCAACGCAGTTATGAGCCTTCTGTAGGTCAAAATCTATGTAGGAGGACCTAATTACCTGCGAATTTTTCGCTTTTAAATTAAATAGATTTTTATTTTGGGTATAAAAATGACGTGAAACAAACAGTTATAGAATCAACTGTACATTTAAAAGGACAAATGATTCAGCTATTATTTGCAACGGGAAATTTGTTTAACACACATAATTTAATAAAGTAGTTAGTCATTCTTTAAGCAAACTTTACGATTGTTAGATATTATATGGAATTATTACGAAGCGCGATTGGTGTATTTGGAGCAATCGAATCGAATACGTGCATTCGTAGTTATTTACGAAAATTTTAAAATAATATGATGTTTAATGATACACGCCCATGGACACTCCCAATGCCAGAGGGCTCGCGCGCAGTTGGTATGCTCTTTTCTTCAAGGACCCTAAGTCGAATTGGTTCGGAATACTTCAGTGGGCAGCTGGTTCCACATAGTGGTGGTGCGTGGAAAAAACTGCCTTAAAAAACGCTCAATTGTGGAACGGCGGACGTATAGGTGATACGGGTGGAATTTCGTATTCTGCCTCGACGTCAGATGATGAAACTATACTCATCAATTACATTAACAAAAATTACAAATAAGCAAGGAACAAAAATATAGTACTATATATAACAGCAAAAATAAAATGCAATTTTAAATTAAATAGCATATCGTAGTTTGGATAGAATTCAGAAAAATGGTGTCCAGATTTATAAGATTCATTTGTTTGAAAGGCAGTTGAAAAACCAGTCGGATTACTTTAATATTAAATCGTATACCCATTTTTTGTAAAAAATCTAAATGTCAAGAGACTAGTTTTTATACAATAATATTTTATATGACGTTAAAATATTAATACTAAAAATATATTTGTCTCTCATTTCGCTAGCTCCGAAATTCTATTTTTCTAATTCAGAAATTCTACGATACCAAGCGCGGTTTAAGCCAAGCGGCTTCATCATGCGACTGAGTTCGTATCATGTCTGTGCAATGGACTTTTCTTTCTATGCGTGTAATTTCTTACAGTAAAGTAGACGGAAGAAAAATAGGTTGGAAAAAGTTGGAGAAAGCTTTCTCCCGGACGGAGGCGGCATCTTAGCTTAATA